TTCCACTTAGCTTCAGCCTTTGTGGGTTGTTGTGAGGTGGGAGTGGGCCACACAGATCTACCAACTAAGAGAAGCATGAGGCAGGGTTGCTGCTGCAAGGGGAAGCTAGAGAAACAGTACTGTGAGGGGGGTGCCCATGAGCCGCACTAGGCCACTGCCAGCTCTGCGCTTACCGCCTTTTAGCATTTAGGAAACAAGGAACTGAGAGATCAAATCCCTCAGGAGAGCGGGAATCTCCACTCTTGCACCGCTGTGAGTCTGTGTGGGTGATGCAAGTTCAGGTCAAGTGATGGCAATGACAGGAGGTGGTCAGAGACAAGATGACCCACTTTTGCACTATCATGTCCCCTGCGCAAGAGTTTAGGGCCACCTCTAAACAGAGGGAACGCCTTCTTTCTCTAGGACTATCGCTTTCCCTGAGGTGGACTTCGTCCGCCCTGGTATGGGCACTCATGGCATTCATCTCTCCATAGGCGTGGCTTCAAGTGGGCCAAAATATCATCATGGCCACATGCTCCTGCAGGATGGGAGAGAAAGAGGCAGCTCTACCTCTGTCCCTGTGTGAGCTCGACAGTCATGTGACAGCTGGATACGTGGCTGTCTTCAGGAAGGAGTTACAATGAACACAATACAGATCGAACTCACATGCTCCTGGAGGGCCACTCTGAGCTGGGTTGCCTGAGAGGACTGCCCCTCATGAATGGGATGCTTGAGCAAGAGCACTGGTTTAAATCAATTAAATAAACACACGTGATCCCTCCCTGGTCTGCAGATGCTTGATCCAGCCACACATGTCCACAGGCTTAGCACCAACCTGACTGCACACATTCCACAATTATCCTCACTTGGTCCATGCCAATCATCTTCCTGCCCATTCAGCTGCCACCTCCTTCAGGAAGCTCCCCCTGTTCTCCCTGGGAACCCAGGGCATCTCTTCTGTGGCTCTTGGCACAGGATAACACTACTCTGATCTTTGAGGGCATCGGGTTCCTGGTGGACTCTCTTATGGACTATAGGCTTCAGTGCTCAGGGCCCTGCCTGGCTTTGTTCCTTATCTTATGCTCAGGGTTCTGTGTCCTGGGACATTGATGAGAGAGTCAATGGAGAAACCAATTCATTCTTTTTTTCTAGCTGCCAGGAAGCTCAAAGGTATTTGGTGGCTCTTCATGTCAGTTACATAATTAACCCAATGAGCTCAGTGCCACAGATGGGCACACAGGCGAGTCTCCTTGACTGTTCCTCGCTTCCATGTTGCCTGGGTTGCCTGACTCACAGCCGCATCCTGCCATCTTGAAAGTCGGACTCCTTCAGCCAAGTTCTTCTCATGTGATGTCCCCTGGTTCACCCCCTGCCTCCAATTCTACTTTCTAGAAGGATCCTTGTGATTGTACTGTCTCCTCTTAGGCCAAGGCTCTTCCAGTCTGAATCCCGCTGATGGGCAGCCTCAGTTCCATCGATGACCTTCATTCCTTTGTTTTGTGCCACCTTTAGTCTTAACTGTCGGCAGGATGGGGTTGAGAGCCACCCAAGGGATTGATACGGCTCACTCTAGGTGTGTCTCAGAGGATTAGATCAAGAGGGCTCTGAGATGATGAACAGTTTAATCCATGGATGGATTTAGAATGTGACTAGACTATCCGGACAAGGCAGAAGTGTGGAAGGTGGGGCCCGGCTGGAGGAAGTGGGCCACCAGCAGGTGTGCCTTTGGGAGCTGTCTCTTGTCCTGACCTGTGAAAGCTCAGCTCTGGTTCCTGTTCATCACAGTGTAAATTACTTTGCCACATCATCGTACTGTGATGGCCCGAGGCCTCTGAAACTGGCCTTCTCCTTATGTTGTTAGTATTAGGCATTTAGTCACAGGGGTGCAAAGACTGATGAACACACCATGTTTTTACCTCAGGCTCAGGCTCTGGAAAGTAGAAAGTAGACCCCTTTTAAGGAGGGGATGGTGGAAGCCATTTTTCTGCCTTCCACACTAGCACCATAAGGACCTCAAAACAGTGGAGGCCGTTTGTAGAGCTGGAAGACTCGCTAAAATTTTGTAAATGTTCCCCTTGTTTATAAGGCAGAATTCAAGGCTCCGAGAGGAATGGATGCCGAGCCACAGGAAGGTTGCTCAGTCAGTGCCCTGTGCTACTTCCCCTGCTTAGTCAGAGGGACCAGGCCACGGAGGAGATTAAGACATTATGTGTCCATGGAGTGATGAGAGCAGACCCTGCCCCAGCACTGGACCCCTGATGACCGCACCAGGCTTTGGGAGGCAGATATGCTAACCACTGTACTACCAACGCTGCACCAACACACCGTGTTTTAGTGTTTCCTTTAACCACACTGCTTCTCCTGTCATACTCTAAACGAGCTGAGAATACAAGCTTTCCTCGGACCATTGAAACACTTTGTTCTAAAGCAGAGCCCAGATCCTCTGGGATGGCTAGGGCTGAGGCCCAGAGAGTCAGACCTGCATGAACCCTCCATGCAGAGGTCAAGATGGATGGAGACACAGAATAGGTACAGCTGCTGGTCTCGACACTCTGCCTTAAAGGATAGACCATGATGTGTGCATGCCTGTCTCTCGGCTGGTCCATCTCCCTGACTGCCCTTCCAAGCATGATGCATGGAGGCAGTTCCCAGCAACCTCAAGGCTTTTCCTTAGCTCATGCATGTGGGTGGGTTGTCATCAAACTTCCAAGGCATGTTCTTCATGCACCAACTCATTCCCACTTCTTGCTATGCTTCCCATGGCTGCTTATATAGAGCCATGAGCTGTCAGCCTCTGGAGCCCCACGTGGCTCTACCAGCTGGTCTCAATCACCAAGCCACTCTCACTCTCGCCTATGTGGCAAAGTGTGGCAGTAGCCAGACACCAACCCTCATTGCCCTCTTCCTTTGCAGCAGACCCTGGCATCTGTGGTAACAGATGGCTGAAGAACTGCATTCCCTGCATTCCCAGGCTCTGTGGGAGGGAGGGGAGGCTGTGAGATCATGGTCTGTCCAAGGGGACATGAGCAGAAGAGTGTGACACTGATGAGAGGAGCCCCTCCTCCTCACTTGTTCACTTCTGGCTGCAATGCATGGTGATGGCAGCCACTGCAGAAGAGGAGACCTAGAGGGTCTTCATCACAGAGATCTCCTTGACCCTGATCTATGAAGCATCTATCTATGCCCATCACATTTCCTGTGATGATGTTTCATTTCCACTCAGTTATTAAACGACCCTTTCTCTTGGGACAGGTTTGGGCTCTTGTCCCCAGTTTTAGGTTCAAACAGTGTCTCTTAAATAACTAAGATCCTGAGCTATGACTTGATCCCTGGCCACTGTGAACTAGAAGTAGGGTTGAGTGGAAATGCCTGAAAGGGCCTGTGGAACTTGTTACATTGCTGGCCCCCATTCATGACCTTTCTATGCCTGTGTCCTTTACCCTCTGAGTGTGTAGCCTCCTCCCACTGACTCTGAACTTGGTCATGTGATTTACTTTAACCAATAGGATTTCAGATTAGGACTGGCGATCTCCGTGAGCATCTTCCTGAGCTGGCTTGCTTGATGATGAGCCACATGGGGGAAGAACTGAGGCCAACCTTGGTCAGTCACTGACCATTGAATAGGTATATGAATCTCAGTTTACCCTAGGAAGAATTTCAAGGCCAAATCCTATCAAGGTTAACAGAACCACACAGCACCTCGCCAGACTCAAGACAAATGCTGAGTTTTGAGTTTTGAGGCATATGTTATGTAGTATTATGGAATAGGTGACTATTACAAGACCCTTTCCTCCAATATTTTCAACAGACTGGGCAAGTGTATTTCTTGTAGTGTCAAGCAAGAAGCCAGGAAATGCAGTGTGCATCCATCTTTTTGTTCAAGTTCAATGCTACCATTGGCTTCTCCATGTCACTGGCCAAGTGACTCACTGCTCAGTTTCTGTCTTTGCCTTTGTCTTAAAGCAGGACTAAAGACACTATTTGTTTCCTGTGGTTGTGAGGATTTAGTGAGCTAATACAGGCGAGAGCCCAGTACAGATGGACCACTCATGGATGGTGTCTCTCCACCTTTTTCCTATTAAGACAGGGTCTCACTCTGTAGCCTAGACTTTCCTTGAGCTCATGGGGATCCTCCTGCCTCAGCCTTCAGAATATCTGGATTGCATGCATGCTTCAGCACACCTGGACTTCTGTTTTGTTTGAAGAACTGGAGAATGAATACAAGGATTCATACATGCTCAGCAAGCAGCATACTAGCTAGGCTCTCTACCCTCAGACATGTCTGCTCATCCTGACGGACTACTCCAGTCACTCCAGGAGGGTAGGGATGCCATCGTATGCTCCCATCTTTCCCACTGCCTGATGGAATACCCAGAATGTCAAAAACTAATTGTACACTGAACATCTGGCATGATTGGTACTGTTATTGATAGACATGCAGATCTCAGTATTATTTCAACTCAAGGCTGGGATCTCAGTAGCTTTGTTCTTTTTACCAGGTAGAGGTGTAGTATTTATCATGTTTTATGACTTAAGATATATATCCACTCGTATGTATGTGTGCACACATGCATGAATATACACACAATCCTACTGTGCTATGAAATAAAATTTTAGAGTCTCACTCACTCACTGTATCGCACATGCCCATTCTGACTATATGTAATTGACACTTTTCCCAAGGGTCCTTTCTTAGCTGGGCAGGTGGAGAGGAGTTTTTCCCTAGTCAGGATGTATCATGTTTCCACAGGAGGACTCGATTTCTTCCATCAAGCCCAGTTGCTTTCTGAAATCAGATCTCTCAGGCTCTTTTCACCCACCTTCCTCACGCTCCAGAGCCTCTGCTATCTGACTAGTGCCATCGGCCAGAGAGGCAGAGAGAGCGACTGTCCCACAGCACCTAGCACGTTGCTTATAGAGATGCTGCTGCTTGCCCTGTTCAGCCGCTTGGTCCTCAGCACAGCATCTTACTGTGACCCAGGCACAGGCTGGCACTGTGTGACGAAAGGAAAGGACCCTACCTTTCATGGCTCCTGCCTCATCGTGCTTTTCAAGGAGGAGGTAGCGTGGGCTCTCAGGGAGAAGTGGCAGGCTTGCCAGCTGGACCAAGGCAGGGACAACGATCACTCCAAACAGGTATGGCCAGGTGCTCTCCTGCAGGGAGAAGATTCTGCTAATGGAGGGGGCCTGTGATTGTTCTACTGGGGACATTGGACGGAGCAGCTTGAACTCCACAGGAAGCCCCTCTGCTCAGCTTGTCCCCACTGCTAAGGGAAGGAATAAAGCAGATGAGATAATGGCCCTGTGCACACAGCATTTTCCACACTGAGTTGGTGTGGAGTCCTCAGCATTTCCATGAGATGGTGACCTAGCACATCTCTGGAAAGAAAGGAGATCCTGGCAGCCAGGCCACTCAGGTGGTACCACAGATGCTTCCCTAACTTGGACCACCACAGCCAACCTGGGGTCTCCTTGGATCTCCTCCACAACTCCAGCATGACTCCTCCTAGACTGCCATGGGCATGGATCAGATTTGCTTGAATGGGAACACTGGAGCAAGACCCCCGGGTGGTGCCCACCATCTTCCTATTTTCAGTGAAGATGGGGAAGGAAGGATGGCATGGTCTCCCAGGCCTTCCCTGGGGACAAGGAGCCCTTATGTGTGGAGGATCTTCACTTTCCAGATGGGAGGGAAAGACAAATGGCCACCCCCAACACATGCCATCAACTCACCGTGTGCAGTGACTCCCACACAGTGCAACTTAAGTGCAGCATGGAGCATAAACGCTTGTGCCCATCAGGGTGACATCCTTCCCTGTCTGCCACCAGATTTACAAATATGCTCCCACTGTGTGCCCTGCATAGGAGCAAGCCCCAGAGGCAATGCTGATGGGGAGGACAAGGGTTCTGGCTCCAAGATGAGCACTTGGCCTGTTTGATTTCCTCAGACAGGAAAGGAGATAGTCCAGGAGAGAGCGGGACACGCTGAAACCTGAAAAGACTTCACATGATGGGCAGAGGTCTGCTGGCCTACTCAGGCCCAGTGAGTTCAGAGCCCTTGGGTGAATGTGACTGCTTGTCCTCAGCTACTTGTCGCCTGTGATAGCTCTCAGGAAGGAGAATGTCCCTGAGACCCTCTGCGGAGCTCTGATGGCAGAGAGGCCATGAGAGTTCCAGACCTTACCAGGGTGAGGCAGCAGGGACCCCTGAAGCACAGAGCAAGCTGGAAGGGGCCTGTCAGGGCACTCAGCCAGTGCTGGCTCAGTCCTCCTCTCCAAGGTGACTCCAGTTCTCCTCCCCTTTCTGAAGCTAGTGACTACTTCTATTCAGAGGCCGGCATAGTCCTTGCATCTATCTCCCTTTGAAGGACAGGGGAGGCCAAGCCAGGCTTTTTCAGTTTGGGGAGGCTTGTGATTAGAAGACCAATCAACGAGAGAAATCAGACAGCCTGTGGAAGGTCAGAGACAGCAATCGTGGGTGAGGAGTGACGAGGGACACAGACGGGCTCCAGCCATGGATCATGGAATATTCTGAATGTAGATGGGCTCTGGTGGTACCAGTTGTGACTATTCAAAAAACCACAGGGGTTTCAGTATGAACTGGCATGCAAACTATATTTCAATTAAAAATTTTAAACCATGGTAGAAAACAGTGAACAGAGTCTGCCAGTTCTGCCTGTACACTCTGTACCCATAGGTGCCACCCACCGTGGATTGAAAATATTCAGAAAAAAATGTATCTGTGTTGAACAGTCATAGACAGACCTCTTTCTCTGTCATCATTCCCTAAGCAATATGGTGTAACAACTGTTTAGATAGCATTTGCATGCCATTAGGTATTATAATGAGTCTCAAGATGGCTTAAGGTACATGGGAGGACATGTGTAGGTTACTTGCAAATATCACACCAGAAGCATTCTGATGAGGAGCAGTTGAGGAAGGCCTTTCAGCCTGGCCCAGGGTCACCCAGTGAGTGGTAAAGGGCCCTGCTCCTGAGCAGGCAGCTCAGGTCTGAATTTGCTTATTCTCTAGTAGTCATTATGGCCATGGATGAGTATCCTAAGATGTCCTGGGAGGAGCCTCAAGGCCACAAGCCAGAGGCCCCCAGCTGGAGCCAAATGAGCTGGATTTGACCTTCGGTCTTTCTGGTGCAAGTGTCTTTCATGATGCTCCTTGGCATATACCAACATGAGCCAAGAACCCAGAATCTCACTCTGCAGTGGTACCCAATAGCTGCTTCCTGTTGAGAAACAAAGGAGAGTGGGGGATTTCTCTCATACACTGACCAGTTTCAGGGTCCCTTTTCCTACTCCTAGAGGGTAGCTTCAGCTTTAGACTGCTTTTAGAAGTGTTTTTTAAAAAAAACAAAACAAAAACAAAAACAAAAAACAAACATGTAGTTCAAGGTAACTATGTGCAGACAAATACTGCGTTCTCTCTCCTGGAGACCCTTGGCTCTAGCAATGCATTCGGGTGGGAGTAGATGTGGATAAAGAATCGGGAACTACAAAGAGTCCCACGAGAAGGGAAAAAAGACACTTTGAGGGAAGGAAGCGAGTGAGGAATCATATGATATATGACATAGAAGAGAGGAAGGAAGTACGGGGGACAGAGGGTATGTGGGCAGCAGGGGGGTGAGGGATCCAGCACAGAGAGGGCATCAAAACAAGGTATGAATGAAAATGCCATAAGGAAACCTGCTTCTCTGTAAGCTAATCAATCAGACAACTATACTCTGGTTACTCCCAGAGGGAGGCCCACAAGGTGCCACAGGAGTCAGCTTTGGAGGAGTCTTTGTGAGGCCAGTCAAGATCTGAGATAACAGGGACACAGGGCTCCAGCTCAGTGGCTTTGGGTCAGGGTCCTGGTACCCAGTGTTCTCATGAGGACAGGTGTGGGTTATCCTGTTGACCAAGACAATGTTTAACTCTCCAATGGAGAAGGTCTGTGGATCTTCTCAAAGCAGTGTCCTGCTCTTTCAACTGCAAGGCTTCTGTTTTAAAGCTAGGCTTCTAGGTTACTTCTCCCAGGCTCTCAAAGACTTTGGTCCTTTCTATAAATAACACCCCCTCTGGACTATTATGCGACAGCAAACAGTTTTAAGTAGAGTGAGCATCGTGGATCTGACTGAGTCAAATTCTTAATTTCGTGCAACACCAAGTGCCCAGGGGTCCCAGAGAAATGGAGCAGGGGACCTGAAGGTGACCAGGCCACACTGGCTACTGGCAGGAGCAGCTTTGACTGCTTCTGGGTGTGAGATGTAGAGACATTGACTACCTCCAAAGCTCTTTGGAGATGCAGCAGGATACTCTTTATATTTCTTCATACTCGTGGTCTAATTAAAGAAAACTGATGTAATGGGCTGAGTTCTCTATGTAGCCCCATGAAAGGCAGCATTATCCTGTTTTCCAATGTTCTTTCTTCCAGTGGACTGTGTTTTCCCGAGAGCCATCCCTGGTCTCCTATCCTGATGTATCTGCTTGAAGTGTGGCAGGTGTTCAGCAAGTGCTGGTAGATTGAATGTGTGCTGGGTTGAGGTGAGTGGTAACCAAGATCATTGATGCAGCTGCTGGAGATGAGACCCCTGAGACATTCTTGAAGTATTTGTTTTTAAATTTAAGCCTTTCCTATATGGATCATATTAAAGGGCTGACACTTTACAGTAACATAATGTTTCCCTATGCAGCACTCTTCGGATTTTAGGTTTATTTTGGAGAGAAATTTGAGCTCTGAAAGGTCAGGGAATACATGTGGGATCCCTTGAGAAGTTGGGGGACTAGCTGGATAATTGGGTTAGCTCTTCTGACCCCTGCATAGGCTCTTCCCTTGTTATTGTCCCTCAGCTCAAAGCAGAGCAGCGGCTCTCTCAAGTCCAGCAGCTGCTTGCTAACTAGGGGATTTGAGCGGCGGTTCTATTAGGCTAAATCAGTCCCCTGAGCAGAATTCAGCAGCAGTCACTCAAACTCGGCCCCAATGCTCACCACAACATGACAGGGACTCCATCACGGGAAGAGACAGGTGCAAGTATCAGCCGTGTGCAACCAGACACCGTGTGCAAAGCCGGGCCACCTTGAGAAAGGGGCTCTGCTGCTCATTTGAGTGACCTCAGAGTTTGTAGGAACTAGGCCCAGAAGGCAAATGGCTCCATCAGCAAATGACGACAGAACTCCAGTGACCTTGCCATTCCCCGCTCCAACCACTCCCCAAGGAAGGGCCCTGGTGGCCACAGCTTCCCAGTGCCCTGGGGTAAGGCATGGCTACCTGAGTGTGGAGTGGCAGTCATGGGTCACCTCCAAACCTCTCCCCACGAGGCCATTCCAGCTTCTAAAACATCTGCATTCCTTACAACCAATATGCTATTCTAGATATTTTTGGTGTGTATCCATGGCCTGATTCTATTTCTACATTAAGAGAGATCCTTGTACAAGTTTATATTATTGTCCCACCCACCTCTGTTACAAATGATGACATGATAGTCCAAGGACATGACCCTCACTGTGTGGTAAGTCTTTATCAGTGCCCCGTGTGGGGAGCCCATACTCCTACACATACAATGCTCATTCATTCCTCTTCCTTCCTGTTCCTATTACCATTTCCTGCTGTCAAAAGGATTTGCCTGTCTTCTGCCTTGCTGGGTTCTCAGGCAATCTTATAGCAAAGACCAGCCTCCATTATTGCCTTTTTATAGATAAGGAACCTGAGGCTGGGGGTCTGCTAGGAAGTACTAAAGCAAAAGCTATCTATAAACCAACTTTATTCTGGTTCTATTTGGAAGAGAGTCAAAATTCCACACTGGTTTTAAAGGTCACTGACCTTATGAACTGTCCCTGGCCAGCCTATTAGATGGGACAATGTTGAGTTTGTACAAATGTACTGAGTCTTTGAGCCCTGCTAGTGATCCTGATTCTCAGCTGAAGAAACCCAGAAACCAATAATTTTCTACCCTAGTGACAATTACACTCCTTATAAATAGCTATGTGGGGGTGGGGGGGTGTGTACTGACCCCATGCAGATGGTCATCAGCTCCATGCCCTTAACCTCTGTTGCCCACAGGGTCAAAAAGGCCACAATATAGCTGTACCTTGCTAAGGTGCCCCCAAATTCCCTGACTATATCTTTACAGTTCCCTTGTCTGCTTCCTAAGGAGTTAGCTAC